GGAATTTTGAAGTTTACGTCCGAATAATATCAAGTCACAGTTTTATGGATTTCAAAGAAAAAAAAATTATGCAAGTCTAAAATTGCTGTTGAAGTAACGGTATCGGGCTCATATCTACTGGAAAAAGACAAAGCACTGTTGACCAAGAGGCAACAAAGCTTCAGTGTTGAATCATTTTTGGCATAGTCAGACTGCCGAAGAATAGGGCATACAACAATATAACTTGGAAAAAAATAACAATGATTAGAAGAAAATTGTAGTGTTGTGAGAAGTGGAAACAATTGATATTTATGAGAAAATTAATATTGTGGTTAATTTATATTTTGAATATTTCGAATTGTTTAATTATTTTCGGAGCTTGAATGAGTACACTGGTTTTTGAAGTTTCGATTTTTCTCTTTAACAAAATACGATTTTCAATTCTGCCATGCTTTACCATTTCATCGTCCGATTTATAAGAAGAGACTTAAAGTTTAACATGATGCTAATCTTCTCGTTCGTTGGCCTGAGCTTTCTACCAAACCCGAAGTCCGCTAAAGGCGTGACCCTGCTACCGCCCATTCGGGCCAACCAGGCTGTCCACTTCGGTCGAGTCTCGCAGCCCTGAGGTCCGGTTGACCCGAGGCGACCCACTTCGCCTCCCGGAGACCCGCGCCGCGCCTCGAGCCCTCTCACACGCCGCGTCGCGTCGCGCTTCGGGAGCAGGACAGCGAAGAGAGCGAAAGCGTTACCAGACACGGAAGAAAGAGTGCACGTGTTTACGAAATGTGTACCTATACCAACGAGCTAGATTATACTACATAGAATGGCTGAAGCGCTTTCTTTGGAGCGAATCTTTAAAGCAAATTTAAGCCATGTTTTTTTGCCAGAACAAAGCAGCGCCTTGTGGGGGAAACAAAGTATTCTAGGCATTTGCGTTTGGTGTCTAGTTCGTTGGCAATGGTTACGGACGGTTACACCGAAAGTAACCACCTGGCACTCGTAATGTTTTGACTTCATTATTTTGACTGCAAAAACAATGGCGGCATTATTCGGCGATCCCCCTCCAGCAGAGCGCTGAAACTATGGGACTGCCATTCTAGTAGTATATTCTATCTCGTTGATATTCTATATCGTTCGAATGATTCGCCAAATAAACTCTTCAGCAACGAGTTTTTACCGAGATGACAATAAAAATAACTCAAATGCAGAGGCACTGTTAATTTTGAAAATTATTTTATTAATTGTGGATCATGGCAAACTATGACTAACCTATGTTAATGAGGCTCCACGCATACAGCATTCGGCGAATCCTGAGTAGTGTGGACGGATTCTTACGATTTGCCGAACGCCGAACATTCGGTATCCACCATACCCACCGTGTGTTGGTCTTTAGGACTCATGAATGGGAGCGAACATTTGCCGAAAGGTGGCTCCACACATTCGGCATTCGCCGAGCAGCGAGCTACTCCTCACCCAATCCCGAACATCCTATGAGTTCCCTTTGATGTGTCCTAAAGGTGGTGTGTCGGACGAGAACCGAATGTTCGTCACTCGGCAAATAGCAATAAACTCATCCACACTACTCGGGATTAGACGAGTGGTTGCTCGGGTTTCGCCGAAAGCGGCATGTGCGTAGCCGCGTTTACGTTTCCCGCCGATCACCGTTGCACGCTGCCAGTCTTCACTGTCGCATTCCTAAGCCATTTCGGAACCCGGACACCAATGTGTAAGGTGGAGTGTGTGGTCAAAGCTTTTTCTCATAGAGATTTCCAAACTTCGCATCTCGGCAGTGAGAACCCGGGGTCTACACGCCTAAAATGGTCACTCAAAAAGCTCGGAATGGAAACTTTATATCTTTCAGAGCTTCTGGACCGTAAGCGCTAAAACGCATTTTGAAACCCATTATCGCTCCGTCACTCAATAAGATTCCAAGTTTCAACGCCAAGTTTTCGAGTAAAAAATATTCGCCAAACTTCGTGAAATATAAATGCAGAGTTATCACTGTCTTCCGGGATTTCCATAAATACCCGGAACCCAAATATGCAGGAAATACTTGATCTAGTAAAAATGCTTTGATATCCATCTTTACACTGTACTAAAACTGTGAAAAACATTAGGCATTCATGTCAGTTGTTTTCTTAACTTCTTTTATTCACATTCTCTGGACGTAACCTTCAAAACGAACTAATTGGTCTAAGGGACACAATCTAAAATTCAGTAGGAGGTACGTAGCGTCCATAAACCGAATTAATTCATTCGCAATCTGCAGTCTTGGCTCCTTATCGCGCTTCACTTTTATTACAGCCATTCCCCGCAATAACGTTGTAGGTTATCCACAACATCTCTAACTAATTCCCTCAGAGGCAGAGGATGCCATCGCTTTAGGGTTCTCATGCAACGCCAACTTCCTGCGCTGCGTCCGGGAGGGGGTGGAGTGGGTGGGGGTGCTTGTCGACTGTTCTTTCAGGCGATCTTCCAATAGCGCATGCGCTTCGCACCACCAGGCGCAGTTCATAGAATTGCAAACGGTGAGCCATTGATGCATATATTGGTCAGTCTTAAGTAAAAGAATGCCCGTAAAACATTTAAAATGTCAACGTTTCGGCTTTTATTAAGCCATTATGAGGACATTTTTACTCTGCATTTCTCAAACTTACCCACCATTCTCACACTTCTTCCTTCCCACATGTTCCCTCCTGCCTCAAGGTGGCTTGGTATATGAAAATAATGTGTGGTAATGAAAATAAGGAAGTATAGGAAGGAACATGTGGGAAAGAAGAGTTATGAGAATAGCGGATAGGTCCGAGAGATCCAGAGGAAAAATGCCCTGATGAAGGCCTAGTAAAAGCCGAAATATTGGCCATTTAAATGTGTTTTTACTGTTCGAAACTCAAGAATATTTCTTTGTATAAATCAGGGCGGTCAAGAAATCAAGGACGTGTAAAAGAAGGCTTTTCTAAAAGAAGGTTCATTATCAAGACCTTCTTCAGGACTAAAAATTAATGAATCGACACAGGTTCTTTTGAACGTGTAACTATTATTAGGTTCAGATTTTTTCAGTGAGTAATATTTGCTTTATACTTACCTTATTACACGACACATTACTAATTTTGTAATGAAACTAAAATAGATTTAACATATAAACGATACCCAGCATGCCATATATCATTTTAGAATATAATATAACTAGGTGCAAAGTAAAGCATAAATTCTCTATCATGACATAAATTTGAATTATTCTATAATGTGAACCTTTGAAGTTTTAGACATACAGAATTTTAAAGAGATCATTGTGGCAAGAGAGTGAAAAAAAATCAATATTATGGGAACAGTATTACTCAACCACAAACTCTCGAAGGCAAGAATATGCATTACGTTCAACACAGCGTACTCCTTACGTTGCTAGTTAAAATATCAAAATTTATTTTGAATTTAATATTCATTCTCAGAACCACTCTTTATTACTAATCAACGAGAGTCATAATTAAACATTTTTATTAGGACTAGAAACGATCATTTTCCTATAAGCAATGATATCGTTCGCTTTTTGTTCCTTAGACAAGCTATTTGCTTTTGACAAATTAAAACAAAATGAAAACTGATTTAACTACTATACTTTATAACAATTATGTTAAATCCAAAGTTCACCTATTCCGATACGATGTATTACAATCTCGCATAGTGGACAATTCTTGATACCAGAACAATCTACTGATGATCATGGGTATTCATATATTTGTCTAAAAGTGTTACTTTAAATCCTTAGAAAGCGTAGATTCATTATCTGCAAGAGAAAAGAAAGAAAGATACATACAATCGAGCTGATGGCATTCAAAGCGCATCCTACAAGCGTATCTGATTTTTCATAGAAACTGAACAGTTACATGATGCAGATGTATAAGATAATGCCTAGTAGCAAAAGTGGTTGAATAGAAGGAGGAAACTCGGTTAAAGTTAGCTAAGAAAACAACCGTTCCTTTTCTTCAATTACTTCGGTTATCTTTAACCCTTTGTCACACTTGTGGAAGATATCATATATCATCAGAATGATTATTTCTGTCAATGTTTTAAAGGCATGCAAGGTAGATTATCTATGTCGGACTGATTCCTGAGCAAACGTTTTCTAAACGTTTGTCGAAATATCGTAATTACACTCATTCAGTTCGTTAGCATATGGCATACATTTTAGAATCTCAATCAGCAGATACGCAGAGATGCGTGACACCGCTAGGAAGCAACACCGTGAATCGTCATGAACAATGATGGGAGACCAGACGTGCTCTACTCCACTAATTTTGTGTGGTTCTTTTATATGGTAGTCCTCACAACCTCCTTATTTCTCCTGTGCAACTCACCGGCTTAGATAGTTCATGTCATCAACTGATGTCGTTGCAGTGCCTCCAATCAGAGGTGGTCTTCCACATTGAGTCCCGACGGTGGTAATATTTTTCGACACTAGCTACACACCTGGGTCGAATTCACCCGCTGTCTGGAATAGAATTCTAGTGCCCAGGTGAGAGCTTAAACCTTGTCCAGGCTGGGGCCGTGCCCCACTGATGGGAGACTCCCGCAAGCCGACGTGTAGGTCGAGTATGGATCTCATCATCCAGCCAGGAAGATAAACGCCATCTCCCGTGACAAAAATCATGCACAATACTTTCGGGACTACTGTCCATAACCGTTGATGTACTTTAAACACTAATTAATCTAAGTAAAACACATTGCTCTGGCAATGCAACTCAACTCAAGTGATTAAACTCAAGTGATGTCACGATGGGATTTATAAGCCGTAGCTCTGCACGCGCCACATTGGAGACCAGGGGGATTTGAGACCCTAGTATGGGACACCTGAGCTTTTTGGTCTGTATTCTCCGCTCTCTCCCCCCTCCACATCGCAGAGTGCAAGGACTCTGGAGACCGAAGTCTGGATGAAAGCCAGATCCCGGCCGCTCTTGGCCTCCCCAAAGCCGCCACCTGAAAGGTCATGGTGTACTGAACGTGTTGTCGTGTGTCGCAGGATGACGTGGCTACGCTCGACGCTGGTGTTGGTGGTGCTGGGGATGGCGGCCGCGCAGATGCCCGGCCTCGGACCCTGCCCGCAGTTCGTCGCCAAGAACAACTTCAACATGAAGGAGGTACGCAAACGCGGAAGCCACAAGCGTGGTAGCTTCTTGACCCAAATGCTCGGGAAGAGATTTTCAAGTTATTTTGGTCAATTCCATTAACTGGAACTACAAAGTAAAATGAAATGTAAACAGGCCAAGTATTTATTCTACACGTTTGACACGAATGAATGATATTGATACGTGATATTTTTGCAAAAAATCATACTTGGAAGATTAAATAACTTCTTGATACTAAATAAGTCTACAGCTCTGTAAATATGTCATAAAGTGTCTGTAATTTTCTTTCAAATTCTGTCTGTAATTTTTTTTGTTATTTAAGGTCGCATTAACTTCTAGGTCATTAACGACCACTATTGCTTGTGACGGCATGGTAACTGAGTGGCACGGTATGACGATGATAGGGGGTGAAAGGACGAACCCAAGAACGAGACGGGACTCGAACCCGCGATCCTTCGGTCCGAGATCGCTTCGGCACTACTGCCTTAAAAATTTCGGCCACCGGATCGGCTCTGTCTATAATTGATAAAGCATGTTTCTTCCAAATTCTAGAATAATTCTAGACGGATTTACACAGAACTATACATATCTTGAAAGTTGTTTCTGGCGGATGAGATCTTTTATAGAGTGCTTTGCAGTGACATTTTCTTGCACTGGGCAGCAAAATGTCGAAGAGCAAGACCTCATGAACTTATGTTAAGTTTTTCACTTTATGGAGATGCAAAGGTACAGGTTTCCTACTTCCCCGAAGAATTGTTCAATTTACCAGAAAAAATTCGGAAGTACGAGTAATATCAGTTTGTCGTGTTTTAAGTACCATAAAGCAACAAATTAATACCAGAATATGCTATGATACTTTACCCCTCAAAATATGAGTAAGATAGAGAGAGAGCGTTACAAAATGAAAGTCATTTGACCTCCATATTTAATTCGTACACGTTATGTGTTTTTTAACAAAAAATAATGCCGTTGGTCAGCCGTTCTGGCAGAGCCACATTCGAACGTTAGAGGTCCACAATTTTGCTAAGTTGAATTATATTTGTGATGTCACCGTGTCTGATTATGTTGAATTATGTTTGTGGACGGATTGTGTCTATTACAATGACCAAAGATGGTTAGATTTCTACCCTTTCCCCCCAATCTATCGAGTTTACCGATGTCGTTATGTGAGAGTTCAACGACAAATTAAAGTTTCTAACGAAGTAATAAAAAGTAGTTTGTCAATGTCATGTTGCTGAGTGACTGCCCTCATCGTGTCGGTATCTGAATTGTGAGCGGTCGTATGTGTGTGTGTATGTGCGCAGTTCATGGGCATGTGGTACGAGGTGGAGCGCATGTTCCAAGTGCTGGAAGTGGCCAGCCGCTGCATCGCAGCCAACTACACCGAGAGCCCCGACGGAAAGATCCACGTGCACAACTTCGTCACCAGCCGCCTGTGAGTACGCAAACACTTTCCCAAGAGATGTCTGTTTCACATCCGAATGGTCACCTTGAAATGAACTAAATACGTCTGGCCACGATTTAGCTTAATGTCATTGAGCCCTTGTGTCTGCCTTACGTGGCTGGCAGCAGGCACGTCGCCCGTACACTCCAAAATGAAAGGACGTAGAAACAAATCATGGTCAGACTGCATTTTACTTCATTTATTCACAGCGGAAAACATGTCTAATGTTTATTTTTATCTTCTTATATTAATGCTTTAGTGCATTATTGAGGAAATAATGCAAATTGTGGAAACTATTAAGTTTTTAGGAATGCATATTAAATATATTTTATTAAATTATTAAAATTTTGATCACCTTAGCCTTTTAATTGCAACATTTTCTCCATGTCTCAACAAACGATTTTTTTTTTCAAATAAATTACGCATATTACGCAAATTACGCAAATTACGTAAATTACGCAAAAATAATCACAAAAATTTAACATTTAGTACATTAAAGTAGAATCTGCAATTAAGAACACTCCATGCATCCAGTGATATCCAAGGCAACATTCTTCTTCCAGAACTAACATTCAGCGCGTTCTGGACGGCGAGGTCCAGCTGACCGGAAAGGACGGCGAAGGCAAAGTCGTCGTTAAGTACAACGTCATCCCAGGTGCGTTAACTACATGTCCACTTTATTTGGTTCGCATATATGTCTTAATTGTCCCTCAAATGTAAGTTAACATTTGCACTCGTAAATGAATTTAATAATGTGAACCTCTTTTATAGCCTTTATGAACAAGTCTGCACTGAAACATAACTCAATCTTTTTCTCTGTTTAGTAACGACCTACGACACGGAATACACTGTCCTGGATACTGACTACAAGAACTTCGCCGTCTTGTACCACTGCTCCAGTCCGCTGCCGTTCTTCAACACACGTAAGAAAATAAGTATTTCTCGTGCACCAGTCTGTTAGCAAATATCAAATAAGGGGAATGATATAAATATCTGGAATGTCATGCAAAGAAAAATACGAAGTCGGGGTGAAAGAGAAGAAAAAGAATTAGAATAATATTGTAGTAAGATAACAAACAATTCAATGAAGAGATTGTACATTTCTACCCAAACTCAATTCAACCATGTGATATTACTTTCCCGTGAAAGAAAATCTCATTAATAATAAGGTATGTTACTTTTCAGTAGAAAGCTCTATAGCTCTATTACATGAATAGCACTTCTACACTTTAATATATTTTATCTGAAAAGTCAATTTTTTTTATTTAAAAAAATTATTACATGTCAAAAACAATTAAAAACGTACTGTGTGAGAGAAGTAAAATATGCACAGATTTTATTGAGTTCCAGTATCCCTACGTTTGATAACAAGAGGTATTCACACCCATGTAGTAGCAATATAGTGCTTCGGCAAATGAGACAGAGTTCATTTGTTGATACGGCTGGTAAAATAATTCGATTCCCCAGTAACCATTGCAAAACTGAAGAAAACGGAAGCACATTGTAGTGTTCATTTACAGCCCAGAAGCAATGCAAGGGGTTTAGGAAGTACGAACATTCGATTTATAGAAATAAAATTATAAGCTAAAGAAATAATTACTAAAGAAAAAAACTTCTAATCCAACATCTAACCACTGTGGACTAATAGTCGATGCTTCCCACTGAAATTAAGAATTGCTCTTTCAATGACGAAAGTTGACCATTGAGGTTGATGCAAACGTTTTGAATTTTAAATAAAATAAACTTAAGGCATAATAATTTCGTAAAATAAGTGTAAAATACTTGAATGAAACAAAGGAAAGTTCTCTTATATACTCTCACATATATGAAGACGATATTGCCATATTATAATACTTTTGAGCAACTTGTTTGACTAGTATTTATTTGTATTATACAAAGACCACTAACAGGAATGTAACGAGTGATTCTAAACATATCTCCCTGCGGCCGGGTAATCATTCATATTTTAACAGATCGCGTGCGGTCTCTGATCCATTTGTTAGGTTTCTGCTTCAGCATTCGCTTGGTATTGTTCGGAGAAACCACGTAAAACTATTGACCAGAGCAGCCGAGCGCTAGAATTCTTCCCCAGACAACGACGGCTGAACTCGTGCGAGCTATCTAGCTAGTATCGACAATCTGCGACGGTCGGTATTCTAAACCTAGATAATCCCTCTTCGAGCTGCTGCGGAGACAGTGGCAACGTTGACTCTGAGCTAGCCTCAGTTTGTGGATTCGGTTGCAGAGAACGCGTGGATCATGACGCGCCAGCGCTACCCGCCGCCGGCCGTGCAGCAGGCAGCGTACGGCGTGCTGGACAAGTACGGCATCAACCGCTCGCAGTTCTCCAAGACGCTGCAGGACGACTGCGACGGCCCCAGCGCAGTCTCCTCGCAGGCGCCGGTCTCCGCCCCGTCCACGGCCGCGCCGCCGCCAGCCGCCGCCCCCGCCGCCTTCGCCCCGGGCCCTCGGTCGGTGCCCGCCCCGCCCCGCCGCTCCGCCGCCCGCCGCCCCGGGCCCGCGGCCCGGCCCCGCGCCTCGTCTCGGAGAACACGGCTTAATGGCTTCAGGTGAGCGCACAATGTAGCAAAAACTGCATGTACAGCACACACTGCAAAACCCGTTCTAGACACGAATAGTTTTGAAATGAAATTTTGAAAATACTTCATACCGCTCATCACATCGACTGTGTTAAACATTGTAACACAACCCTTGTCAATATGCTTAATTTTTGTTTGATTATGTATATTCGGGAGCCTAGATCCTGATCATTTATGGGTTTACAGTACTATTACTGAAAATTCTGTGAAAATGTGGAATTACCAATTCAAAACAAGCTTTTCTGAATAAAAAAATCAGAACGCGAGCCAACAGCGTTGCGATTTAATTTTAAAGTGATTTTAATTATGAAACGTGGAAGATTCTATTTTTATATGGCTTGCCTTTAATTGATGCTTCGTAGTAAATGATGCGTACCTCGCAATACAAACTTGCACTAAATTATCAAGAGTATTTTCCCGTGAGTTCTGAGATTAAATAACGTGACTCTCTGTGATGAAGTGTTTGTTTAGTTTTTTAATTTGTGTTAAATTCACCAAATAATTTTACACATGGAATTTTGCAGCATCGTCTTCATGAGACACCGTTCATTAGTTAGTCTAATAGAATTCTCAATATTACTGAATAACTTCATATTAAAATGCATTAGAGTGGTTTCTTGCATATCTTTTGTTGTAATTAATGTTTATTCATACATACACTGAAGTAATACGAACATTAATTTCCAATTGCGTGTTACATTTTCACGTACATTATTTCGATGCAGGATATACATGCTCCTTATTTTAAATTAGATTCTTTTGCCAATCGTTCTCTGGAACTGTTTTCATTGCAACCACATGTATTGTTTTTTCTTCTAGAGGGCGTTGGTACCAGAAGCGGATCCGGAAGCCCTCCACCCGCAACAATGCACTTCGCAAACGCGCGCGCTATTTATATCCTATTTTTGTTGTTAGCGTAAAACCAAATAAACAATTCAAACACTTTTGTGTAATACCAGTTGTAATTTTTTTTTATGAATCCTTTTTTTATTCGTTAATGTTATTTCTGTCCTATTTACAAAAATTTCCCTTCGTGTTTTGTAATGATTTTAAATATAATAATAAAATTATTATTATTATAATACATTTCCATAATTTCAGGGTAAGATAGCCAGTAAGCAAATATAATATTCGTATTAAATTATATATTTAATTTTACAATCCTGAATCCCGGTTTGCGATGACAGAGGCATCTCGCCGCGCTCCAAGATTTCCTCCTCGCTGCCCCCTCACGTCATCATTCAAGTGTTTTGTTTGTGCGTCATATTTACTCCATTTTGTGAGATTTGCATGCTATTCAAGTGTGGGTTGGCTTTTCTTTTTCGGTTTGTTCGTTATAAATAAACGGTTAGTTTACGAAGTATTCATTGATAACCATGGGGTGAATTCAAATCATTTCTAGTATACGACTTAATTCAGGAATACGAGACTTCAATTCTGATAGTGTGTATATATATATATATATATATATATATATATATATATATATATATATATATATATTATATATATATTATATTATTATTATATATATTATTTTTCAAATTCAGAAGCATCAGTTTAAAGTATAATCAACGGAGCAGGAGAACGTAGTTGATGCTGTAAAGAATATGAATGCATGATGATATTAAATGAAAATGAGTACATGCCACTGGACAAGAGAATACACGATTGACGAGGTAAACCTAATGGTGTTGAGATTTATATTTTTCGAAGATAATATGAATATTTTCTGCAAATGTGTTTACATATTTTGTTTCAGTTAAAAGCAACAAAAAATATATAGCTTTGTGCAATTTAAGTATTTTATCATCAGCGCATTAAGGATTTTGTTATCTTTTATTCCTGAATATTTCTAACTTGGGAGATGCGTTTTAGACGAAGGAGTTTTATGGTAATATTTTTAAGAGTATTTCTGTTAAAAAAGACGAAAGAAAGCGGAATCTCTCTTGCAAAACCACTTCAGGAAAGGCTTTTTAAAACCTCGACATCATTTAATATCACTTCATCAAGGATTTTAAAGCATATGCTTCTCTTTGCAGGAAAATCGAAATCGGGCGGTAATTTTTAAAAGAGATGACATGTCTTGCTAACCTGATTTTCAGGAATGTCGCAGCAAGAGAGAAACCTGTTGCGTTTAGAAATTACTTCGAGGTCTGGTTCGGGTTGGTCATAGGACGAAAGTTCTTTCCAAGCAGGCAAGGCCTAACATTATTATTTCCTCTAGGTGTTGGGTATAATCGCATCCGGGTCTGAACCGGATCTTCGCGTCCCCTATTAGATCCCGGCGTTTGGAAGTATGGCACATTCTGGCATTATTTATAACTTAAGAAGAAGCCTTCAGAAGTAGCCTGACGACATTCTGTAATGCAATCCGTGTACACTTTCCGTAGCTGCAGGTAAATAGATATAAACAATGAGCCGACACCGCCCGTTGCCTTACAAATGACTTACCTTGATGTCTTACCATGCCTCACATCGATTGTTTCACATTGAAGGCATCCCAGGTTCCAGTGTGAGACATCTCAGAAAGTATTCTGAAGACACATGGAGGTGAAAAGAAGACCACATTTTGAAACGGTGTTCTAGATCTGAATACCTTTATAGTTATCAATAAAACTCTATATTATTAATCTTTATTAAAAATCTTGAGCAAAATTACTCAGCCGGCCTTGCCTTACAGCGGATGTTCTTTTTTTATAGTACCTTTGTTCTCCTTGTTACTTTTGAAAGTTGAATCTCCTGTTAAATAATTAACTTACATCTCACCTGATCTTTGTAGCTAACTTCTCTGCAGGGTATGAACAAGTCAGATGATTAAAAATCAAGAGAAACTAATTTAAAATGACAGGGCAAGTAAAACAACATTCAAAGATGGTTCTTCTTATTACTAAACGAATCTATACGTTTCTAATTCGGTATCACTAATCTGAAAGTGAGCTTTGCCGTCCTTTCATTTATTTCCACCATTAGGTAATATAATTTGTACAGCACCGTAAATATATTTTTATCACAATCTCTTAATAATTATTAACCGACGTGAAAGTTCTAGACAAATTGAGGGCAACGTATTGAGTATATCTCTCTTTTTGATGATGATTCTCCTCCTCTTTCTTCCGATCCGGCGCCCAAGCGAGTGTCTGACAAGTGGGTGATTCAGAAAGTTGCAGCGAGAGGACGCAGGCGGTGGAGGAGAAGGCGGGGGCAGAGGAGCCCACGGTGGCGCCTGAGTAGCCGACAAACCCACTTCTAGCCACGGACTTAGCAATTAGTGCAGGTCGCACTTCCGGGCCGCCCGCCCAGCTCCGCCCTCTCGCTCCCCACTCCTCTCCTTCCCATCCCACCGCTTCTCATCTCGAAT